TATAATCATCATCTTCATCCTCCATTGTAAGAGTATAGTCGGATGTAAACAACTCCCATTGGGCCATAATTTCCCTCTTTTTCCTATCAAACTCATTGGAGTGTAATCCGAAGTGTTCCTTTACATGTTCCTATCATCCATCTCTTCTTGTATTTGTTTTGCCCGTTCTTCGTGCCTATGGTTCATTTCTTCTGCGGCAAAGGTATTTTGCTCCGCCATTAATTGCAATGAGGGCACCATTTCCTGTTGAAAGGCGTAATCATCATTTGCCTTGCCTTTTTCCTTCAATTTTGGGCCTTATTTTGTCCCGTAGCCCCAGGTTGGAAGCTTCACCCGGAGACAGATTTTCTACCCTTGTTTCTTGAATGGTAGGATATCCATGTTCATCCCCAACTGCATTTGAGGAAACATTTCCGAACACTCGGTGTAGGACCAAATCTTTCTTGAGGTGGATCTTCAAATAATACCCACCCTTTACAAATTTCCCAACAACTGTGATGACTAAAGGGTTTCGAGTTGTCCTCCCTATACAATTCCTCCGATTGGCGTACCTATAAAATATAATTACAAAAATTAAAGGAAATTAATTTATGAAATTAAATGTAATATAATTAAATATTTAAAATAATTTGTGAAAACACTTACTTCGTCGTAGTAATTGGCTATGCTTTCATGTCTGCTTTCGGCCTTTAACATTGCTTGATGTTATTTATTCAAACTTGGATGAAGATGTTTTTTCCATCTTGAAGAACAACTCTCGTGGTTTCGGGAATTCGGTGGAGTGGTGCCTTCGTAGAACTCATAGTACTTTTTGGACGTACGAGTCCAAACACCTTCACTTGTTTGAGAACTCCCCTTCACACTATCTTTTGAGATCCTACCTTTCATTGTAGATGTGGCAATTTGAAAATTATTGAAAAAATTGAAGGAAAGATTATTGGAAGAGGTAAGAGAATAGAATGTGAAGAATTAAAATAAAATGAGGTAAGATAGTATGAAATGCTGAAAATTATGTGAAAAATGGTGTAGGAATGACTTAGGTATTTATAGGAAAAAAAATTTGTACGAAAAAGAAAATTCAAATGCAATGGTAACTTGGCGTTGCTAGCTGGCATCATGCTGATGCTAGGTAACCGTTGCTTTTGAATTTTGGGCCGGCCCGGGGCTGGCTAGCTCCCTCATTTAGGCCAGCCAGTTGGCCTGTTTTCTAATTTTTGGCCCTGTGGGGCCCATGAGCCCTTTGGCCTAGTCCTATTTTGGAGACAGTTTTCGTGTCATTTCGAGCTATTTTTAGCCCTATATCCCTTTGGCCGGGTCGGTTGGAGATGGCCTGAAGGCATTGGGTGCTGTGCTACCGGAGACGACACCATTGAAAAGGCTGGAAGGGGAAGGAGATAAGGGTATATTGGGTAAAAAAAACTGATTCCGGCTTCATGCTTTCTTCCGGAATCCAAATACCATATATTGGTTGGTAATCTGATTCTAGGCAATTTAGGGATCTAATTCCCTATTTTCGGTGGGCTCCACATACAATTTCATTCCCCCAATTTTAGTAAACACTTGAATCCCTTAGAATAAGTGCAATTCTCATTCCTTTCACTTCATTCCCCTTACGTAAACATGCCCTTATATGAACTAAGAACCTGAAAAACAAATGATCAACCGCTTGAAATTAAAACCTAAACTAAGAAAAGTAAAGAATAATAAGAATATGAAGTTTTTTTGTGATCGCGAGATCCCATATGCAATCATGCAAATTCTTAAAAATGATCTCAATCCAACCCTTATTCTTGAATTTATTAATAATTTACCATATGCAGTACCGAATCAGAAATTGTCGATAGTTGCTGCCAATCGCCTTTGCAATGGCAGGATCCTGATCCGTGATGATCATTTTGAACTGCTCACCTGGCACAACTTTAAGGAATTATTCAAGCAACCACTCAAAGTTATAGGTCTTTTCAATTTTGATGAATCTACAACCCAATATTGTGGTTTGACCATGATTATTGACTTCTTGCAAAGAAGCAAACATCATCCCGTAGACATTGGTATTGAAAGTAGTACCAAACACAATCACATCACCAAAACATGCATAAGCACGTCTTGACTTAGCCTTCATCCAAAAGAAATTGGCAAGTATTATGGTTTCTTCAATCTCCATCTTGAATTAGAATGACTCATTTTTCTTTTCATCACCCTCAAAATGCTTTTTTGGCATTTTCACATCATTCATGATTAGATGAGCTCGAAAGTCCCTTTTGGCATTATACAAATCATTGGGGATACAACCAGTATTTTTGATTCCTCCACTTTGCACCTCCAATAAACCCACTTGTATACTCGTGGAAATATATCAACTTCGAACATTAATCAATCATCACCTTCTTTGCCTTATGTCTCTCTTTGAAAACTGTTACTACAAACTTATCATGAACATTTAGGTTCAACAACGCAACTTTTCCTTAGCAGTCAATTCTAGTATCTACTCTTTTACCTTTCCAATTGAGTTTGGGATTAATATCCACCTTCTTTTTGCCTTGTTTGCAACAAAAAAATTCCTTCCTTACCAACCCCTCACCAACACCGCCCTTTTTATCACTATGTTCCCGAATACCACCCCCAGCTACTATTGTATAAATTTTGTAAAAACATAGCCTTCATCAAACGAATCAAACTCCATATTCACTTTGAGTTCTAACTTATCCTACATTTGTTACCACAAATTTAGCCCTTGCTGCACCAATTTCATCTCGTGCATCTAAATACTCAATTTCTTCTATATTTTCATTTACTTCTCTGTTATCCCCTATTGAAATCCAAATCAATAACTTGTTGCTTCAAAGTCACACAAATATAACCCAGTTTATCACAATCTAGCACGAGTTTCACCAATATTTACATAAAATATCTGTTTCGAACCAAATGACCCAAGTTATAACAAGTAGCATGATTGATCGGATTTCACGAAAGCAAAAATAGCATAGAAACTTACCCAAAATTGAATTTCACAACCCATAACTTTGAAATAAATCTCAAAGAGAGAAAGAAAGAGTAGAGGCTGATGCTAAAACTTGAAGCAATGCATCGCCATGAACCACCATGCTTCACATCTGGACAACAACAGCGACAACGACGACAAGGGTTTCTGGACAAAGGTCTGGGCTCATTCACTATGAATTTTGATAGGTGTCAGTGATTTGGAAGAACCAAAATCATTTGACCAGATGAAGATGTACATCACTACCAAAACTCGATAGGTTGTTTGTGAAGTGGAACCAAACTCATGAATTATATGGGTCTTTAGGACCCAGTTCTATTGATATACTTGGCTAATCACAGCCATTGGATCTTCTTCTACATGGATCGTCCACATGAGAGAAATGCTCTTTGTTTCTTTCCTCAAAGAGGCACATAAAAGTGGAGAGCACTTATGTATGTGCATCTATTCTTTTTCATATTTTGAAAAGAAAAAGGAAAATATTAATTTTTTTACATCGTACGTGTCCTTCTACAAATATTGCACAACATACATTGCAAATCCAACTGTGATTATTATTTTAAAGTGCAAAGGTGAAAGCCATCCTGTCAAACAGTTAAAAAGTGGATGTATTGGATACATTTTTTTGTATGATTCTTGGTCATATTACGTTACATAGTACATGTTAGTTTTATGTTTTGTACATCTACAAACAGGGGAAAGGCAAGAAGTGCTACGCAGCAATGCAAGTTTGGTATATTTTGTTAGACTACCTGTGAATGACAATGAGTTAACAACTAGGTTTCTTGAATCACATGTAAACTCATTGTGCGAGTTGTGTTGTTGAAGGAATCTGAGATCCTTGATATAATAGGAGTTGTGGAGTTTAGTTATTGTGCAGTTAATTAATAGGAGTACTTGTAGGGTATTCACTGAGATATTAGAGTCATGATGGGACTTGAACTTGTTATAAGGATAGAGTTTATCTTCGCTACTGATAATAGGCCGGTAAGTGTGGAACTCTGATAGGAAAATTTGGTGTATATATACATATTGAAGAAGTCCCCGCTTCCACAAAATAAGACTCTCGAGAACTAAACCCTATTTACTAGTAGAGATCATCACTGTGTGCTGGAAGTAGAAGGCTGATTCATTTGGTCATTCAATGGAAGCAACATCAGGTAAATCGTTTTGCAGATTGCATGTAGAGTTGTGTGTTGAGGTTGTTCGTGGATGTAATCCTATCACTACGTTGATTATGTTGTTGACTTGTGTGTACTTATATATTCCAACATGTGGTATCAAAGTCACTCAACGTGGCTAGGGTTCTTTGCTCTCATTAAAGACCATGATAGAGTTTTGATAAATGCAAAACCACATATAATCGTGGACAAAATTATGCTTCCGCTGTATGTTCTTGCTTTATCAATTAGTGACTTACCTTTATACTAAAATATGATAATAGGCTACTTGGTGTTTCTCGAGTTGTGTTTGTTATATTTTGCAGGAAACCTAATTTCATCAGATGAGGACAACGCTGGAAAGACCAGTAAAAATTCAGAAGAACTTTTGGATGCATAATATGCTTGTCAATAATGAACTGACAAACATAATATGAATTATAAACAAGGATTACAACATCTAATCTACTCAAAAGTGTTTGGATTGTTGTTTTTGGCTTGTTAATCAAATGATTGGATATGTGGTTTATTTGTATTAAGTGAATAATAATCTGCTCAAAAGTGTTTATTTATTCAAGTTAAACAAGTAAATCAATGTATAATGAGTCATTAAACTGACAAGATTATACTCTTCATCTTCTTGAAAGTGTTGAAATTGTGTAAATTGCCCTTGTGTTTAATGACTCAGTTATACAAACCTAATATAAATGGTTTCTATCTAAAGATGATACCATGGTTATATGACTTTGGATGGGGAAATATTGAAATAATAGTTTTTCCTTATTTGATAAATTAGCTACTGAATAATATTGTTTTCGTGATCTTCTTCAGCACCTCACATGACGTCTCTCAACTTTAACAATATAGAGACCTTGACTGGCTCCAACTTCAAGAAATGGAAGGAGGATGTCGAGATTGTGCTTGGTCTCATGGATCTTGACCTGGCACTGAGGGAAGAAAAGCTTAAAGCCATCACTTCCAAGAGTACTGCAGATGAAAAAGTGAAGCTTGAAAAATGGGAGAGGGCAAATCGAATGTCCATGATGATAATGAAGAAAGCAATGGCTCAGTTGGTCAAAGGGGGTATTCCTAAGACTGACAATGCAAGGGAATTCTTGGCTGCAGTAGGAGAGAAGTTTAAGGAGTCAGAAAAGGTAGAAATTGGGACCTTCCTTACGCAAATAACATCAATGAAGTACAATGGTGTGGGAAGTGTCAGAAAGCATATATTGAAGATGGTTGACCTTGCCCAGAAACTGAAGGATCTTAAAGTATCTATGACTGACCAATTTTTAGTCCACATGGCTTTAAATTCTTTACCTCCTAAATATGGGCAGCTCAAATTCTTATACAACACTCAAAAGGATAAATAGGGTATCAATGAACTAATTTCAATGTGTACTCAAGAAGATGATCAACTCAAAAAGGACAAGGCAATGGCTCAGTCGGTCAAAGAGGGTATTCCTAAGACTGCCAATGCAAGAGAATTCTTGGTTGCAGTAGGAGAGAAGTTTAAGGAGTCAGAAAAGGCAGAAACTAGGACCTTCCTTACGCAAATCACATCAATGAAGTACGATGGTGTGGGAAGTGTCAAAGAGCATATATTGACGATGGTTGATCTTGCCCAGAAACTGAAGGATCTTGAGGTACCTATGACTGACCAATTTTTAGTCCACATGGCTTTAAATTCTTTACCTCCTAAATATGGGCAACTCAAAGTCTCATACAACACTCAAAAGGATAAATAGGGTATGAATTTTGTGCTCAAGAAAAAGATCAACTCAATGCCGAGATGGCTTTCAATTTTTAGTCCACATGGCTTTCAATGTGTGCTCAAGAAAAAGATCAACTCAAAAAGGACAAGGCAGTGGATGTGAATTTTGTGCAAGCTGAAAAATGCAAAAGAGACTCTACTTTTGGTTCAACTATACCTGCTGGTAATAAGAAGAAGAAAGAAAACTTTTCTTCATTTAAAAGTACTAACCCCTCTAAAGGATCTCACAAAATTATGCCTGTTAATGCCGAGATTGAGAAAGAAAAAGAATGTTATTTTTGCAAAGAAACAAGAAACAGGTCACTTAAGAAAGAATTGCACTGGATTAAAAAATTGGCTTGTCACTAAACGTAACATCATAAATATTTTTGTATGTGTTGAATCAAATTTAGTTTTTATTCCCCCTCAAAGTTGGTGGTTTAACACTAGTTGCTCCATTCATATAACTAATTCCTTGCAGGGATTCTAAAAAACAAGGGAGATAAACAATGAAGTCTACAATGTCTATGTAGGAAATGGGAGCAAAGTTGCTGTTGAATCCATAGGGAGAGTCGAATTAGTCCTTTCATCTGGTTTTAGAATTAAGTCCAATCTTTTATGTACCTTCCATGAGAAGGAATTTGATTTTTGCATCTAAGTTAGTTAAGTCAGGCTTTACCTTTGTTGGTGACGATCACTGTGTTAAGTTTTACCATTCAAATAATATTAATGAAATGCTTGGGAAAGCTTATCTTGAAATCGATATGTGGCAATTAGACTGTTCATATAAAAATGAATGCTTTAGTGTTCAAGCTGTTGGTTCAAAATTACTGTCCACTTCTGAAAAATCCTCCATGCTTTGGCATAAAAGGTTGGGACGTATATCTAAAGAAAGAATCCTCGCCTTGACAAAACAAAATATGTTGCCACAACTTGATTTTAGTGACTTCAAAGAATGTGTCGATTGTTTCAAAGGAAAACTCACCAACACTAGAAAGTTAGGTTCAAACCATAGTCAATCCCTGCTAGAAATCATACATATTGACATAGGTGGACCTTTTCCAAACAAAACCATTTGTGGAAAATCATATTTCATATCCTTTATTGATGATTTTTCACGTTATGCATATGTTTATCTCATCTCGGAAAAATCTGAAGCTTTGGAGTGTTTTAAATCTTTTCATTTAAAGGTTGAAAAACAACTTGAAAAACAAATTAAAATTGTGAGATCCGATAGAGGTGGTGAGTATTTTGGCAGGTACACTGAGGTTGGACAACATAAGGGGCCTTTTGCAACTTATCTTGAACAAAACGGCATCGTAGCACAATATACCACCCCAGGGACTCCCCAATAGAATGGGGTGGCAAAAAGAAGAAATCGTACTCTCAAGGATATGATAAGGTCTATGTTTGCACACTCACATCTCCTTATTTTTCTTTGGGGAGAGGCTTTGAAAACAGCAACATATATCTTGAACCGAGTACCAAGCAAGTCTGTCAACTTGGTGCCATTTGAAGCATGGGCTGGAAGATAATTGAGTTTCAACCATTTCCATGTTTGGGGATGTAAAGCCGAGGCAAGATTCTACAATCCAATGAAGAAGAAGCTTGATCCAAGAACTACAAGTTGTAGGTTCATTGGATACTCCGAAAGATCAAAGGGGTTTAAGTTTTATTGCCCTAACAGTCATTCCAGAATTATGGAGACACACAATGCTAAGTTTCTCGAGCATTTGAATGGAGATGATGACAGCCCTTCACATTCAATATCATCAAATTTTGAAGAACTATCACAAGAAGGTGAGTTGCTTGAGAAGTAACCAATTGCTGTGTGCATTCCTCTCGAGTCACAAACATTTCTTACACCTGATAGTCTCCCTGAGCAACAAGTAGATGGAATGATGAATGATTACCAAATTCCCCATGATGAAGAGCAAAGTACTAACATTGCAGACGTGGAAGATAATAATATTCATGATCACATAGATGGCATGGCTGTTGCATCGATTCAGGCACCAGTCAGAAAGTCACAACGAGTTCGCAAGGCTATTACGTTACCAGATTTTGTGTATCTTAATGAGGCAGAACATAACGTAGGGGATGCTGATGATCCTACATCCTATCACGAAGCAATCTCAAGTACAAGATCAAAGTTATGGAATGAAGCCATGCATGAAGAATTACAGTCTATGGAGAAGAATAGAGTATGGACCTTAGCACCAAAACCCACGGGGGTTCACAAACTCATGGGTTGCAATTGGGTCTTTAAAACAAAGAGAGATTCAGAGGGTAATATTGACAAACATAAAATGAGGCTAGTGGCAAAAGGCTTTACACAGAAAAAAGGAGTCGATTACAACGAGACATTTTCTGCTGTCTCAACCAAAGACTCCATGAGAATAATACTAGCTCTCATAACTCATTTTGATTTAGAGCTTATTCAGATGGACGTTAAAACAACTTTTCTTAATGGGGATCTTGAAGAAGACATATACCTGAGCCAACCACCAAGATTTGTTGAAAGGGGGAAAGAATTAATGGTTTGTAAGCTGAACAAGTCGATTTATGGGCTGAAACAGGCTTTGAGGCAATGGAACAAAAAGTTTGATAATGTGATGGAGAAGTCAGGTTTTCAAGAGAATAAACTGGATGAGTGTGTATACTTTAAAGTCTGTGGTACCAAGGTAATATACTTGGTATTGTATGTAGATGACATATTAATGGCGAGCTCTGATATGTTTTTGTTACAGTTGACTAAGGGCATGTTAGCTCAGAACTTCGATATGAAAGACTTGGGAGAGGCTCAGTTTGTTTTAGGGATAGAAATCATTCGAGATCATGCCAATAGATCCCTTGGTCTTTCACAAAGACGATATATTGATAGGGTGACTAAAAGATTTAGCATGGATAAATGTTCAAATGGAAAGCTCCTATTGAAAAAGGAGAAAAATTGACTTGCGAGTAGTGTCCTAAGAATGATCTGGAGAAAGAAGGAATGAAAGACAAGCCGTATACGTCACTAGTAGAGAGCTTGATGTATGCACAAGTATGTATAAGACCGGATTTAGCCTTTGCGGTGAGTGTATTGGGCATGTTTCAATCAAATCCTGGTGCATCTCATTGGGTTGCAACTAAAAAGGTCTTGAGGTATCTTAAAATAACCAGGGATTTTATGTTGACATATAGTCATGTGGACAAACTTGAGTTGGTGGCATTCTCCGACTCTGACTTTGCAGGGTGTATAGATGATATGAGGTCAACTAATGGCTACATTTTTCTGCTAGCTAATGGGGCAGTTTCGTGGAAGAGTTCAAAGCAAAAGAGTATTGCATCTTCTATGATGGAGGCTGAATACATGGGGTGTTATGCAACAACTCAACAAGCCATCTGGCTTAAAAATATGATGAAGGGACTTGTGATTATTGACAATATTGAAAGGCCTCTCAAACTTTATTATGATAATAAAGCTGCAGCCTTCTTTTCGAAGAATAATAAGAGGTCTTATGGGAGTAGGTTAATGGACATAAAGTTTCTGAAAGTGAGAGATGAAGTTAAGAAGGGGACTACTGATATTGAGTATATTAATACAAGTTTGATGGTTGCTGATCCAATGACAAAGGCTTTACCAGTGGGAGTCTTCAAGAGGCATGTTTTTAACATGGGAGTAAGAGAGTTCTTTGATTCAGTTAATGAGTGGGAGTAAGCACTCTAAAGACTGTGTTGAACTTGTTTTATTTTGGTTGTTTATTTTGATGTCAGTAGCTAGTTTTAGAACAATGCTATGAATTATTATTGTTTTTGATAATCTATGCAATTTGTCATTTCAAATAGTTTTGGTACTGAAAGGAATTTCAGTTTGTTTTGAGGAACCAGTGTTTTTGTTTGTTGGTTCTCAACATCGTGAGTCTGGTAGTAACATAGTGTTTCATGATAAATGTGTATGTAATTATAGAGTATCAAGTACAGGTTATTCGTACTTGGGCTTTCTATGGTTCTGCATTTTTCTTGGAATGAGAAGTTACTAACTAAAGTGGTTGCAAGCTTTTGTAAACTCAATGATCATCATGATTCTTATTGTATTGAGGAATATCATTGACATTCAAGTGGGAGAATGTTAGACTATGTGTGAATGACAATGAGATAACAACTAGGTTTCTTGAATCACACGTAAACTCATTGTGCGAGTTGTGTGGTTGAAGGAATCTGAGATCCTTGATATAATAGGACTTGTGGAGTTTAGTTATTGTGCAGTCAATTAACAAGAGTACTTGTAGGGTATTCACTGAGATATTAGAATCACGATGGGACTTGAACTTGTTATGAGGATAGAGTTTATCTTCACTACTGATAATAGGCCGGTAAGTGTGGAACTTTGATAGGATAATTTGGTGTATATATACATATTGAAGAAGTCCTTGCTTCCACACAATAAGACTCTCGAGAACTAAACCCTATTTACTAGTAGAGATCATCACTGTGTGCTGGTAGTAGAAGACTGATTCACTTGTTCATTCAATGGCAGCAACATCAGGTAAGTCGTTTTGTAGATTGCATGTAGAGTTGTGTGTTGAGGTTGTTCGTGGATGTAATCCTATCGCTACATTGATTATGTTGTTGACTTGTGTGTACTCATATATTCCAACATATTTTGCTTTACAAGAAAAAAAGTAGTGAGCAAGATACCTAGATGGAAGGGGTACCTACAGCTTACAACACCTATATATACACACAAACACACATACATACACACATACACAAATGCTTTCACATAAGGAAAAGAAGATACCAAAACCTTCCGTACCAATAAGAAACAGGAACAACCTCAACTTAATTCCATGTCTTGGGGGAAGCCACTCAACCCTAAAATTACCACCACCACCACCCTGATCCAACGTTAAACTGCTCGTAATACCCCGAAAACACTTTTGCCCTATATATGTTGTCGCTTTTCGGGTTAGCCCTTAATGACAAGAAAATTAACCCAAGGATCAGCCACGCACACTTTGGTTTGGTTTGCAGCCATAATCTGCACCGTCGTAGCCATAGCCGTGATCATTGCAGGCATCGTGGTGTTTTCCGGCTACATGATCATCCATCCAAGGGTGCCTTTAATCACCGTCACCTCTGCTTATCTCGATAACTTTCAAAACACCGAGGCCAGTCTTCTTGAAACGGAGATCACCATTGTTGTAAGGGCGGAGAACGACAACACCAATGCGCATGCAAGCTTTTCGGATACAAGCTTCATGCTGAGCTTCCGAGGGCTGAACATTGCGGGGCTGGTGGCGTATCCGTTCGAAGTCAATAAAAATAGCTTGGTTGATTTCCATTACTTGGTGCAATCATCGTAGATTCCGCTGAATCCGGAGCTGATGGATGAAGCGGGACAGAATTGTTTTTAACTTGAAGGGAAATTTGAGGGCAAGGTGGAGAGTAGGGTTGCTTGGTTCAGTTAAGTTCTGGGGTCATTTGAATTGTCAGCTCAAGTTTCATCCTTCAAATGGAACTCACCTTGCAGCTCAAGGGAAAAATAGTCAAAACACAGATCCATTGTCATCTTTCAATTTTTACGTACGCAAATTGAGTTCTTCTCCTTTCCTCCATTAAAATAATAGGCTTCATTTCAATTTTCAGGATTAGGATTATTGAAAAACAAATAATCGGTGGATGTAGTCTCTCTCTTTTGCTTTTCCCCTCTTTGTATTCCTTTCTAAATTTTTCTCTTTCACGAAGAAAGAAGAAAGGGTTCGTTGTAATTTCAAAACCTACCTGGAAGCTCCTTTACGCAACCAATAAAAAACACTTATATGAAGCTTTCTGAAATCAAATGATGGCTTTGCTAATGTAGCTCTTAAATATGTTAACGCTTGTATTTCGGAGCGTTTATTGAGAAGCTCCTTTAGTCCCTTATCAACCGTGGAGGGCTAAGAGTGATCGCGATTATGTTTTAGTTCCCTAAAACATTCTTTTTAGTGTCTAGTTTTGGTTACGTAGTTTTCATCTCTACCAATACATGACTATAATAGTTTGTTGTATTGGAAGCGATAATAAGGGGAGAGAGAGAAGGACATAGAAAATCCACACAGGCTCCACCAAAAGCTTTTTGTCATATGACTAGGATTTGGATCCTATTCGGATCCAAATTGTGGGGATTTTAGGAATTCTCACATCCTAACCGTTTATCGTACATCATTCGATCAGAAATTATTTTGAATTTTTTATTTAAAATTTAACATAAATAGTACCTAACGAAAACTGACCACACGATATACGATGAACGATCATGATGTGAGGATCCCCACAAAGAGGATCCAGAGAGGATCCTCATCCATATGACTAAATGTAGTTAGCTCAGGTAGTCGACCTGAAAGCTACTTGTAACTAACCCTGTTTGCTAACGAGGATATAGCCCTTACTGGCCAGTATATACTCTAAGTATGACCTTAAGCAATAAGAATTGAAGTAAAAAAAACAAATGAAGCTTTCAGTATTCAGTGAACAAATGACAAGCCATGACAATCGTGCAAATTAAGCAAAGAACAAGGTAAAGCTACCTAGAAGCAACTAAGAGCACTTCCAGTGTGTAAAGGCTCCCTTTGGTAATAGGCAATTCAATCCCCTCAAGGAATAGTAACCGCCCTTAATGAATTGTAATTGCCTATTGCATTTCCATCCCTAAATTGAATAGCCAAAGCAATTCGCATTAAAATATTAGTATTTTTTATTTTATAAAATAATAAAAAAAATATTTTTTTTAATTCAAATAGGGTTTTATTTTAAATAAAGTACCAAATTAAATAAATATGAAATTATATAAAGTACTATATTAAATAAATACAAATTACATAAAGTACCGAATGGTGTTATTAACTTAAAATTTTAAAATTATATATTTATAGAAGAAAATACAAATTACATATTTATAGAAGAAAAAAAAATTATAATTTTTAAATTTTGTTTTTGAATTTTTTCGGATATTAAAATTTTTATTAACTTAATTAATCTGGACTATTGGATTATGTCACAGCCCGTCCCGAAATAAATTATCGATGACGTGAATTGACTATTTTACCCTTGGATGTGAACGTTGTGGTGTGTTATGCATGTAGATGGGGGTTCAAACTTACATTTTTTTGCTAATTTTTGGAAGAAATTAGAAAGGAATTTTTGTGGTTTTGGTTGGTGACCCACGTGGACCACACACACATACAAACTTTCCTTCTCTCTTCTTTGCCGTGCTCTCTCCCTCGGACTCACTCTCTCTCTCCTTCCCTCACGTACAGACGAATGCCAAACTCACACTTCAAGCGTGGATCGACGTCAAGAAGGTAAGATTCGAACTCCTTGCAAGTCCCTGAGTTCATATATACCATTTTTAAGACCTGAAAACCTCAAAAACCCCGAGAACTCTAACCTCTGATTTGGTGCACTATTCATGCACACGTAAATGTGAAGGTTTTAGGTGATTTGAAGCTTGTAGGAAGCTTAAAACATCCCTACGAAGCTTAGAGAAGAAAAACCAAGCGATTTGGACGTCGGGATCGTCAGTTTCAAGCTTGGCTGGTTTTCCTTGAAATTCTCCGACGAGATCCCGTGAGATTTAGGCCCTAAAACTGGTATGGGTTTGTTCTACATGTCCTAAGCTTCATTTTGATATATAATTCGTGAAATTTGGCTGAAAAACGACAAAGATATAAAGGTTTAAAGAAATTCCCAGTTTCCAGAGCCGGCGACGGTCGCCAGAGTCCTGAGGTTAGGGGTGATGGAATATTCCGTCAACTTTGACGAAATATTCCTAACGGCGTTGGTTAGTTTAACGGATTTCGTTATTTAACAAAATATTCCATGGAATATTCCTAACGGGGTTAAGGGATTCTGTTAGGGTCCCTGCTCGTGGGCGGCGTATGTTGCCGTGCCTTGGCCGGCGCGTGGCAGCGCGTAAGTGGTCAGAAAATTATTCTAAAAATATGGGGATGTTCGTGGAGTTGTGTAGATCACGTTGGTATATTCAAACACCCCATTTGAGCATTGTATGAGAAGTTATTAGTTAGTTTTGGTTAGGTGCTTTAAATTAACGTTTATTCAGTTAATTCGCATATAGGTGAGACTTATCCTGAGGACGAGCGTAGTCAAGGGCAACTCGGGGGCTACGACCCTTCGACATACCAGTGAGTGGGTTTTTGATTTTCAGTATATACTTATATACTTGATATTTTCCCAGAAAATGCAATTAAATGAAAGTATGCCTTGAATGTCATGCATATAGATTTATATTTTGTATTTGCTAGTATATGGTGCATAATATATAATTGTGGTGCTGTGGACGCTTAGGTAAGTACCAGGTGAGTTATGTTTGGTTATGTGAATCATCGATGATGTGATATGTGATTGAGAAACATTGAGCTCATAAACCTGCACCTAGGGTGATTATGATTTAGCCAGAGATATGGCACATGCCTGTTATTGATGTCACCTCCTGCACTATATGCTCACATTGGATCCAATTTAGGTGCACAGTCCTGTCGTACATACCATTATAGGTGGTTCCGACTCATAGGTGACTAGCGATTTATGGCCCAGCTATCATGAGAGAGTAGTATCGAGCATATTTATATTACACCCAGTATTGTCATATAGACCTTTTCATTGGTTCTGACTCGTGTGCAGTAGAGTGCTGTATAGGTCAATGTAGTGACTCCGGCTAGATTTGACTATTGAGCTATGAATTCAGCCGTACAGACTTCCATAGGGGTTCCGGTTAATATGTTATATTTCCATGAATTTATTCTCACCTGAATTACTTACTATGTTATATCTTGGCATGGCATACTTATGATTATGAATATGTGAAGCATGATTTGAATTGATATATTTACATATATATTTATACATATGTTTATATTCTACTTTTGAGAAAATTTATACATGTTTTACAGCGAGGGGTTAGAACTGTTGAGAAATTAAATGTTTTTGTAAAACATTTGTTTTTGCCCACTCACGTTTTCTGTTTTGCGCCCCTCCAAGTTTTAGGTAGACTACTGTTGGTGGCGTACGAGGATTCCGTCGGTTCTGACCTATAAAAATAATAGTAGGACATCTTATGGTACTGTATAATTAGTACTTGTCTTACTGGACGACACCTAGACTTTCTATGCTCTGAATAGGAGTATTTACACTTGTATTTCACTCATAGCACTTCCTGTTTATTAGTGCTCTTTAGTAGCTTTCGGTACTGTGCACATGACTATGTCACCCTCACGTGACGGCCAGCATGCCTCGATCTCGATCGGGGTGTGTCAATTGGATTACAAAAAAAATTGAAATCCAACAGTCCAGATTTTGACTCATAGCCTAATGGTAACAATTTTTTTTATATAAAATTTTTAAAGCCGGAAAACATGGACCGTTAATCTAGAAATCAAACGGTCCAGATTGTCATGTCATCTAGCTGTCGGGGGAGGTTTGAAATTTTTTTTTTACCGATGGAAATCCAACAGCCCATAAAAATAGCCATTGAAAATCTAACGGCTTGGAAAAAGCCACGTTGCTCCTAGCAACAGTAACTGAGTGGGTTGCCACGTAGACCCCACCATCTAAATTGCTGTTGGAGATGCGCCCCCACGTGCCTGATGCAAATTTCTTTTAGAACGTGACTGACGTTAGCCTAATATCACATCCATCTAGGCGCTCAGGCCTTTAATTTCCACCTGATCTCTTGGTTGGGCTGCCCTTAGCCTAATTGCTTGGGTGGGCTAGAGGGGTTTATGGGGGATTGCAATGGATTCGTTGCCAATCCGCTGGGCAATTGCCCATGGTGGAAGTGCTCTAAAGAATCCCAAAAATCTGTGTAGATGGGCCCTAAAGAAAGCACATTTTTTAGTTTTATTTTGTTTTTTGTTATTGTCTTTTCTTGGCTTTTTGTTTGGAGGTTTGTTGGAGTTTCTTCAAGCTGGTATTAATGACCAAGGCCAAGATGTGCCTTTAACCATTTTGACTATGACTTAGATTGTGGGATCATGATTTTTTTTGTCTCATGATTTTATCGGAATATACACAATCTATTAAGCGTAATCCGGCGTCCTAGGCTTAAAGCCTATTAAAGATATTACTTGTCTCCCAAGTAAAGAAACCCTAATTAAAGTCATGTTAAAATATTTGGGGATTAGGCAACGTAAAGATTGAGTATCTTTTCCTAGATTTCTTCCTAAATAGTCTCCTGATTTGATGAAAATTAATTTCCTTGCAAGGACTCTCAAGATCCCTGTAAATACTCTAACTTGGGTATTTATCAGGGAAGACATCTATCTCTCTTTGAGACTTCTCTCTAAGTTTATTATTCTCCACAAGACCA